CTAAGATATTTACCACGTCTAGTCTGGTGATGAACCCATCAAGGACACTTTCCACATCTGTTAGTGTTTCTTGCATTTCTTTTTTATAATTTACATCTCCCTGCCTAAATAACCTATCTGTTCTTGTGTATTGTCTACTTCGACCATTAGAGCTCTTAATAATCAGAGTTGTTTCAAATTCCTGGTCTGATAGTTCCAACATCACTGCCATATATGAGACTTGTTCTGTCTCTTTGAATGGTATCTTTTGTCTTTAGTATACCTTGAAAATTTTTTATTTATTTATTTATTTTTTTTAAAAGATTTTATTTATTTATTCATGATAGTTACACACAGAGAGAGAGAGAGGCAGAGACACAGGCAGAGGGAGAAGTAGGCTCCATGCAGGGAGCCCGACATGGGATTCTATCCCAGGTCTCCAGGATTGCGTCCTGGGCCAAAGGCAGGCGCCAAACCACTGCGCCACCCAGGGATCCCCGAAAATTTTTTATTTAAAACCAGATATGATGTAATGGGTAAAAGGAACTTTGGTAAATTGGCTGGTAGTGATATAGTGGTAAGGTTTATGTGTGGGGAAGTGTTCTATAGTTCTATGATTATGTCTCAGTCTTTGATGAGCCTGTGTCCCTGGACTGTGACATTTACCAGTGTTGCTCAGTCCCCCACCTTCCCCTTTATGTGGGACAGGGTGACTACAGTGGGCTGGAGTTGGGTATTTTGTACGTCCTGGGTGGGTCAGTTAGGCTCTGATAAAACCTTAGCAGGTTAGGGTCAGGTAAAATGGTTTCTCTTGAGGTTAGCCTTATTGAGAACAGAATGCTCTGGTGTATTTCAAAAGGGTTACTTTTCCCTCCTTCTGCTGGAAGCTCTAGGGAATTTTTCTCCGATATTCATTGTGAGAACCTGGTAGAGTTCCTAGAGGTAGAACAAAAGTATGGGGATGGGGACCTCCTAATGAGTCGGCCCCCATTTTAACTTTCAGACCTGCCTACACAGAGCTTCCAGCATCTCATCAATTACAGTTTAAGTGTTCCAACCCTGATGCTGGTTTTTATAGAAGTTTCTTCTCAGGGAAGTTGTACTTCTGTGTATTTGCCTGTCTCTCCAGTTTTGGGGACAGTCATTTTCCCTCTGACCTCACTGTTCTGAAGTATATAGAGGAACTGTTGATTTTTCAGTTTGTTCAGGTTTTTACTTTGCTGGGATGGACTGGTGACTTCCAAGCTACTTACAACTTGGATTGGGAATCAGAAGTCCCCCAGATAATTTATTTTCACAGTGAGAATCCAAGTAGATTAGTATTATTATCTAATAGATAAAGTAAAGATGTTTTGAGTCTTGCCAAACATCTTCAGGACAGTGGAGCCAGAGTCTGAGTCCAAGCACCCTGTTCATGGGATAACTCCAAAGCTGATTCTCTTTATCAGAACACAATGCTTATCTATTAGATACACAGTATTCTGTTCAATTGTTGAAAAATTTCCAGTGGAGAAGCTTTCTTTACCCATCCATTCTAATGTAGGGCACTTTTAAGGATCAAGAGGTCCCTTCTGAGATTTAATATGCATCTCTTCAGGTGACAGTAGAAATTCCTCTGTCCAAATTTGTGAGGTAATGAGAACAGCCTTTTGGCACTATCTTTATAATATCTGCACATTTCCCTTGGAATCTTGGACCTAGCTTTCTAAGTCCAGAAGGAAAAGCAACTTTAAAAATAGCACACATATGTGTGTACGGTTATTACCAAGATAGATATGTACAGGACAACCTGTGCTAGATTCTCTTATAAAGTAAGCTAACTCCATTATCTGTAGACCAGATTTCCTTAATGCCATATGCTATTGTATTTGCTTCATTCTTATCCCAAATCAATCTGAAATGACAGAGTTAAGTCCCCAGCTAGTGATTCAGGGTTGAAGAGATGACCTGGCTATCAGCATCAAGCCCCACTGTATTTGATACCATTAGGGTGACAGGAGTGTGAGGGCTGAGGAATAGGCCGGAGAAGAGCAAAATATACTCTGGGTGAGTATAGTTCTTTCATGAGTCTTCCCAGAGCCTGCCCACCATTAGAGTTCATGTTCTTGGGGTCCTTGAGTAGCAGAATATTTTTCAGACTTTAATCTCTTCAGTTGGCTTAGCTTTTGAATTTTTTTATTTTTAATTTATTTATTTATGATAGAGAGAGAGAGAGAGAGAGAGAGAAAGAGAGAGAGAGAGAGAGAGGCAGAGACACAGGCAGAGGGAGAAACAGGCTCCATGCCCCGGGAGCCCGATGTGGGATTCGATCCCGGGTCTCCAGGATGGCGCCCTGGGCCAAAGGCAGGCGCCAAACTGCTGTGCCACCCAGGGATCCCTGGCTTATCTTTTGGTACATTATTGAAAAAGCCTACATCTATCCAGTAGGGTTATATAATATGGTTGAAATAAAGATTTCTCTCATTTTCTGGCAAAGGAGTGGTATGGTCTATTTTAATTTGTTTCCAGAGTCCTCAAATCTCTTGTTTCAAAACTCTTTTTTTTTTGCTACTGCTCTTGGAGGTACTTCTTTTGGAGTGTGCTACCCAAAAAGACATTATTTGATGAGCCAGAAGATCCTGTAGCATCATAAGTCCTGAACACAAATATTTTAGGCTTTTGTTTGCTCCTCTGTTCTTTCATGTCTTTGGCACTGGCCCTGTGAACTAACGTAATAAAGTTTTCCAAGATCAATTGTAGTAATAATTGAGTTAGGCTACACCTAACAGGATCACATCTGCCCTTTATCCATTCTTGATCCTGTGAAACCTCCATCTTTTTCAAGGCACATGTTGCTACTCCAGTCAGTGTGATAAGGGTCATCTCCAGACCCATGATCATGTAGGCCTCCTGCCCCATAGTGCAACTACAACTGCTATATCAGCCAGGCAGTTGCACCTAGACGTGGCACTTCCTTAGTGTGTCCCTAAACTTTCAGCCCAAGCATTCCATCCATGCTACCAAATTAAGACCCTTCCTTGGCTTCAAACTGACCATCAGCACACAAGTGCATGAACCAATTGAACTTTTAACTGAATAAAAAGTTAGAGTCTAACACAAGGATTCCAATCAATTACCCTTTTTCATCAACCCATTAATGACATCTAAATCAGTGTTCTGAGCCTCTTTTCAAAGACTATGATTCAGTAAAGAATCTACTACTCTTCTAAGTAAGTACTCTAACTACACTTGACTTACTTTTCTTTTTTATCTGTTGGTCTATCTTGTCCTGTTTGATAGTATGATTTTTATTGAGGAATATTTTATATGGATAGCTCTTCTGCTGAGAGTACAAATTCCTATAGTTATTTCATAGAGATATAAGGGATATGCAAAACATATCATCCACTAACTATTTCATTTATTACTGATTTGCCCTTTATGATCTTTTATTCTGAGAAAAATCAAAGGGATTGGTGATTTGGAAGTCTGGGTGTTCACTTCCCCTGATTCTGTTCAGAGTACAGCCCAGTCCAGATAAGCAGGACTACCTAATCCTGCCATGCTTTATTTTCTAACTATGCAACAGCTAGAGCATTAGGAGTTATGAGCAGGGAGGCTGCCATAGGACCATTCTCTCTTTCAGTGTTTTCCATGCCACCTGATGTTCCCTTGACCAGGCCTTTGGGTGTGTGGGAGAAGTTGGGCAAAAGCGAGACTGTGCTATGGTATGAGTTCCTTCAGAAAAATGTCCAGCCCATGAATGATGTTTCCTGGCTTAGACAGTGACCTATTCAGCTTGGTTCTGTCTAACTTGCTGATTTTCCTCAGGAGCTGTTATCATTCCCCAGATGTAACAGTGGAGTTTGATCCAGCTTTGTCTTTTTGAATGAATTCATTTAACAAATATTTACTCAAAGCCTTGGCATGAGCTTTGAGTAGCATTGGGCATGGTTTGGGACTCAGAATGTCATGATGAGCAAGAGTAATCAAAGTCTCTTTGCAGCTACAGATGAGTAATAAACACATGAACAAAGAATAAGTTAATCACAGATTGTGGTGAGTGCTAGGAGGGGAAAGCCAGGGTGGCATGGGTCAAAGGGAGCCTGTTTCTAAATAGGGTGGTCAGGGAAATCTCAACTTACTGGGGAGGTGACAAGCTGTGATATAAAGCTCAAGAAAGAGCCAGCCATGAGAAAAGGATGGAGAAGGATATTTTATGTAGAAGGAAGAGCAAGTGTAAAAGTCCAGAGGCAGGAAAGAGTTTTGCTTGTTTTTGCTTGTTTAAGGAATAAGAAGGAGGCAGAATGGTTGGGGCATGGTGAGTGAAGGAAAGAGTAGGGAAGAAATGAGCTGGAAGGGTCTGTAAGAACCAGACATGCGGTGCCCAGGGAAGAGATAGGGATCAATTTGGATTTCCACTAAATGGAATGGGAAGCCACAGAAGGCTTTAAACTAATGGGACAGAGGATTTGCTTGTACTTGAAAAATAATCTCTCTGGTTGTTGTATAAAGAACACAATGTAAAAAGGAGTAAGTAAGAACACGGGAAAATGAGCTCGAGGCTATTTATGATGTTGATTTCTGTCCCCCAACTTTCTTGTTGTCTACAATGTCAGATCTTATTCAGTGGGATTCCGCTGCTTCAGAAGTCTATTTAAGCTGACTACTGGTCTGGGAAGTTTTTACTCGGATAAGGCATCTATTCATTTTCCCATTTTTCCTTTCATCCATTTATCTCTAGTCTATCCATCCATCCATCCATCCATCACTTATCCATCCATCCATTGATCCATACATTCTACAGTTATTCATCAATATGCTGCTAAATGCCAAGCCCAGTACCAAGCATACAGTTTCCTGCCTGAAGCCATGTACAGTCTATTTGTGGATAGAGGAATGCAAATAAATAAATAACAACATATTATAATAAAGGTTATTAGAGTGAAAAGTACAATAGGAAGCACCTAGCAAGTAGCCACGATAAGAATAGGTGACTTTTGAAGGTCTTGAAAAATGAATAGAAATTTGCCAGTAAAAGCTACTTTTTCTTAAACTTTTACTGGGTGCTAAGCAATATACTTTAAATTTTACACACATTATCTCACTTAGTCTTTCTCTCAACCTAACAGGCTAGGTAGTATCATTCCCATTTACAGAGAGGTTGAAAAATGTTCCCATTGCACAACTTGTCAGTACCCGCCCTGACTGTTAAACCATGTCTGTATGCTCCAAAGTCCATGTTTTTAACTATATTATTTCTCTGTTATCTACAGATAGGAGTGTTATTTTGGTGGGATAATATCTCATACATGTAGCTCTTCTATGCAGAGTGTAAATCCCCATAGTTTGGTTCATAGAGATACTGATATGCAAAAAAAATTAATTCACTATCTATTTCAGTCATTATTGTTCCACCTTTTTAACAATTCTTTCCGAGGAGGAATTCAAGCAAGTGCATATAAAAAGCAGTTATAGGCAAAAAGGAGCATATCAAATTTGAGGAAAAGGAGGCGTTTGGAGGGCCTGAAGCACAAGGTATGGAGTGGTGGAAGGTCCGGGGATGAGCCTCTGGATAGGACAGAGCCAAGGCAGGAGGCATCACACACCATGCTATGAGTTTGTCTTCCTCCTGTGGGCAACCTCAGCAGTCTGGTCATTAGCCCTCTTTCTTTACAACCTGGAGAACTGGATCAAGTCCTGATTGATCTCAGCAACCGACCGGCAACCTAAAAGAACAATGTGGTTAACGAGCTTATTTCTCTAAAACCCCAATGACCTACCCCATCATGGGTAATGGGATGATCCAATGGGAACAGGCCTGCCTTGATCTCTGTGCTCACCCCGGGAAACCATTATGGACACCAGAATCACATGAAAAATGTGATTCTGATTGCCTTGAGAATTACTTTGTGAGCCTGTGCCCATGTCCTCTTTCAACACAGCCATGTCAAAATGGCATAGTAAAAACATAGAAACACTATTTTAGCATTTTAGAAATAAATTCATATGTGCCATAGATACACTTGACCTTTATCTGAGCACTGATAAGCTTCAAGGATATAGGAAGTACATGTCAGAGAGAAATATGAGTCAGGAATAAGAGATGGGATGGGTACTTCATATTGCGGTTGCCTTCCAAGGGAAAGTTCTGCAAAATTTAACACTTTAGTAAAGGATCTGAATTAAAGTGCAAAATTAGAACTGTAGCTGAGATGAGACACAGGGATTGAAGAGAGTGATGTCGGATCAGAAGCGTGAAAATTAGAGAGGGTGACAAAACTTGAGAGATTCCTAACTCTGGGAAACGAGCAAGGGGTAATGGGAGGGGAGGTGGGCAGGGTGATGGGGTGACTGGGTGATGGGCACTGAGGGGGGCACTTGACAGGATGAGCACTGAGTGTTATACTATATGTTGGCAAATTGAACTCCAATAAATAAAAAAAAGGAAGGGGAAAGAGGGAGTAGTATGTTGGTACAGACTGGAGAGTTGTGGCCTTGAGTGGACAGGAAATCCCGGTGATGATAAGGCAGAAAACTTGAATGCCAGGATGTGTAAGGTTTAATTGAAGTTTTTTCCCACATGTATGATGTGTGTAACTTCACCTCCCAAAACACAACTTTAGCAAAAAGTATTATTTGTGAAAATAAAATTAATGAAAGGGGGGTTTTTCCTCTCTAAAAATCATGCCTCTGTTGATTATAGTGGACAGAGATGGCAGGCATGGGATACATAAATAACCCACAAACAACTCATTCGGCAGAAGCAGGAACTTGGTGCCAGAGGTGGCTCTCCTCAGAATGGGCAGTGGGGTCTTAAGAGCTTTGGGTTTCCCCAGAGGGGAGAACAGTGGGCAGGCAGACCTATTCAAGTACAGAGATGCGAAAGTATGATCTTTGGTTATATATTGTAATACAAATAATATTTAAATGATGTAAAAATGTCTCAATAGTTGTAACAAAGTCATGTTATGACTTCATTTTAATACAGTTTGACACATAAGCCTTGGAAATGCTTCAGTGCTTACTCAACTCTCATCAATTGGTTTCTGGGTCTTATACAATACCAAGGACACTGCCCTACACTTGGCAGAGGCTCAGTAAAAGTGAGGGAGAATGCATAATCATGATTTTCTTCCACTCTTTCATTGCTATAAATTAGGAGGATATTTACACTAAAATCTTTTGGCTACTCTAAAGTGAAGTAGGTAATTCCAAACAATAAACCTCAAGAAGGTTCATATACTTTTTAATTCAGCCTCCTCCCCTTGTGAAGAATGAGATCTCAGTGAGGTCCATGCAGCCTTGTGTTGGTATGATTTACGTGCGGACATTTTTCAAGAGAGATCATGATTTTAACCTTTCTATAATTTCAGCAATTGGTGTCATGGTGAGAAAAACATGACTTTTAAGCTTATTTTGCTTTCAGAGGGTCATAAAGGAAAAATATCACACATCTCCAAGGGAATCAGGTGAGAGAAATCACATCAACTGATTCCTCTTGGGTGCTGATTTTGTGTCAGGTACCTTATGTGCATTGTGTGCAGAAGAGCTAAGGGATGCAGAATCTCAGGGCTTTCACACTATGATTTTGCACCTTAGTGAGTTCCACCAAAAGCACAAGCCCCTGCCTCAGCTCCCTTCTTCCCAAGGACCAGCCTGGGGGTCTACCCAGGGGAGAGACTCTTATGCAGAGGATGCCAACAGATACCCTTCTGCTTGAGTTTTCTATTCTTTCTCTTCCTCCCTCTTCCCTGTCCCATGTTTGGTTGTGATTACTAATTTTTATATAGACATTTAAAACAATACATTCTCATTGTAGTACAGTTAGAAGGAGGGGAGTATAAATTGTCAGCCTTAGAAGTGCTCTCAATTCCGTTTTTTTCTCTTGCCCCTTTTAAAAAAGGATGCTCTCCTCTTTATTTCAGAAGATTTTTCCAGCCACCATTTCCACCCCAGTGACTGTTAAGTGTAAACTTTTGATAGAATAAAAAAGCTTTGTTATTGTTAATTCCTCCAACAGGCTTCTGTTAAAATAAGATCAGACATCGTTTCACAAAGATAGGAGAAAATATTTGGGGGATCAGAAGTCACCTCAACCTCCTGGAATCTGCAGAAGCTCATGGGTCTTCTCGTCCTTCACTCTCCTCCTTCTCAGGGTCAAAACACACCACTATGATATCTGTTTGCCCTTGTGCCCTCCATTCCCTCATGAAAGGGCCTTGGTAACACCAGGTCACTTACTGACTTATCTTCATAGGCTCTGAAGAGTATGACTCTGGTCCAAAGCTGAAAAGTATGACTCTGGTCCTCATCCTCCATAACTTGATATATTCCTCCCTCTTCTTTTCTTTAATTAATTTGCTCTGTGGGAAGGAGGCTGGTACTGGCAGTAATGCTGATCTAAGTTTTGTAACTTGTATTACTCAACCCCAAAAGGTTCAATCTGTAGTCCCAATGGACACTACTAATATAACTTGGACACTGAGTACAAGACACTTGTCCAAATATCAGACCAAAATCAGACTTGAGAAGAACCAGGACATCTTGCCTTTGTGCCTGGCACATGACTGATGCACTGTAATATTTATGGAAATAAGTCAACGGCATGTAAATGGTCTTGATTTCACATCAGAGCTCTTGATTCATTATTTCCTTACTTCTGGAGAAGTATTATCAGATTTTAGAATTGAGGAGTGAATGGAAGTCTTATTCATCTTGTCTGAGCTTTCACATAGTGATCAGTTAGATCTATAGCAGACAAAGACAATCAAAGACAGAGTCATTTGGCCATTGGCATTTTGGTAGGGTAATTCTTTTCTATGAGACAGCTCCAGGCACGTTAGGACATTTAGTGTCCCTAGCCCCTGAGCACTAACTACCAGCATTATACACCCTACAGTTGTTGGCCTACTAGAAAAAAATAAATTCAAATTCTAAACCAAATCTTCCTCAAGAGGGCAGTCATCCATGATCTTAGTTGAGAACTACTATTTTATGGATCACTGGGATCCCAGGCTTTGCTAAAAACTTACAAATGTTTATGAGCACTACTTTACGATAACTTTATCTTTGACTGAAATCCACCTGCATGTAACTTTTAGACATTTACGTTTCTCTGGCTGTGGTTACACAAGACGGCACTTCTCCTTCTCCCCGCCTTCTCTCCTCCTGTTGTGTCTATCTCCCCAGTTCCTCCATGCCTCCTCCTTGACATAATTTCTCAATTCCTCACAGTCCATGAATATGAAAAAGTGACACACAGAGCCACACCCAACAAGCCTGGTGTGTGATCTGAACACAGAAGAGTATAAGGGGACACTCTTTCCTATAATCTGAAATTACATTTGATTTTGTAGCAAAGGTGTTGCATTTTGAGTCTGTGTTCAATTCTTTGTCTGGGGCATCTTTTTCTTTCTCTCTATTCTAGGCTGGGCTGGGAGAAACTAGCTAGAAGGAGGAGCCGCCACTCCTGTGCCCTCATGCCTTCAGGTCTAAATCAGGAAAAGGACTATAAAAACTTACCTGTCAGGGCCATGGAAGTGTGGAACTCATTTTTTATAATGTTCAAAACTTCCTCAACGCCATATTCACCCTGCTTCCAACATGCGGGATGGGGAGAGACAAAAAGAAGTGTGAGGGAACATTCTGCCCATGTGCTGAGTATCAGTTCTAGGTGTGTTCACAGCTGCAGTGGGGAGGATGGCAATGTCTGTAAAATTGGAACAATGTCAGGAAGACAGGGAAGCAAAGAGGAAAAGATGGGGGTGAGCATGCCTGAGAATGTGCAACATGCTACAGAGATGCAGGCAAGGAGTAGCTGTCCCTCAGGAATCTGTGGCACCTCAAAAAATGGCTCAGCTTGGATGGTAAGCCACAGTAAAGTGTGGGGAAAAAGTGAGAAGCACAGTATCTTGATTTTCACTTTACCACTCTCACCTTATAGGCAAGACCCCAGAGGATTGGTCTCCCCAGAAACACACACTTAGCCCCAAGGGCCAGAGCCTTGAGCACGTCATTGCCAGTTCGGATACCACCATCCAGGTATACTTCCATTTTCCCTTTCACAGCAGCCACCACTTCTGCCAAGGCATCAATCTGAGAACGAGACACATGTGGCTTGAGGGATTACCATTTTCACTCTCAGGGATCATGGGACACAGGTGCCCCTCAGTGTGGGTTAGGAATAGGAAGTCCGAGTGTGGATGACATCTACTGGTTTCTTCCCCTCCCCTACCAGAGCAGTGCAGCTAGGTTCCCAAGCCCCAGGGACTTTCTGCAGGCTCCCTCTGACAGAGTGTGACTTTCTGCCCTGACAGAGTGTGACTTCTCTCTGATTCACTTATTCAGCTGTCTACAGCTTGGAAGAAACTCTTGGTTCCTCCTCATATCCTAAAGGGGATATTTTCCATTAACGGTATTCACTTTAGTGTTCTTTTTAAAGTACATTTTGACTTTTGGTTTTCTCCTATCTTCTCTGTTTCTAGGGTGGCACAGCTAGGAATGTTCTCCATTGCTAAGGCACTGAGTCTTTTTTGGCAAGTGTCTGGATCACAGCCCACCTTGTGTAACCGGGCTGCATGTTGTTCCTTACACACCACACTTGAACCACCTGTTCTTGACTTCTGTGTGTGTTATCAAAGACATAGGTTGGGAATGGAAGCAGCAGTGCTGTTGAAGTAGGGTTGAAGACTCTGAAAGGTAAAACAAAAGCTGCTTATAACTTAGCCTGGTGTTTCCCAGGCTTTGTCTCTCACCTTGTGTCCTCAGTTCTAGGCTCTGTAGTTACCAGGCTGTGCCAATCCATGGTGCCCCAGACTGAGCTGCACTCCTGAGCACCTCCAAGTCTAAGAGGAGGGGTGACAGCAGAGTCTGGGAGGAGAGTCCTTGAGGGTAGAGTTCTGGAACTGCCACAGAGCTCCTGTTCTATGGCTCTTGGACTGTAGAGGAGGAGAAACTAGCCCCAGGGAACTTCTGCTGCCCAAGGAATCAATGGGAATTCTACCTCAATGAGATCCTTTGGATTACTGAGCAGAATATTAAATAAGGAAGGAAAGAAGTTTGTACTCTAATTTACAAGTGGAGAAGAATTGAATACATTTAAAACTGACATTGATAACTGGTGATAATGCATGTCCAAATAAGGGGACATTATTTTATATAATATATAAAATAATATATATTTTATATATTTTTATAGCCCCAGCATGGTATTATTTGGAATATTTCAATGATTTTGGGAAAAAGAAATAAACATATCTGTACAAACTCTTCCAGTGAGCTGTACTGGACAATGGAGCTGATGGAATTTGAGAAACAGAACAGGGAGTGAATTTTGGCCTAGGGTACAATACTTTAGAGTTTCTTTCGATAGGTCATGATAGGACATTCATTAGAGCCTTCAGGAGACAACAGACAGCTTTGACCCTTTTCCCAGGTCCAAGGAAGAAATACAAGAAGTGCTAGATTTGGAAACTTCTAAAGATGGGAACTTCAAAGAGTCATACTTCTCACAGGGAGGGGCTTGGGGTGGAAAGAGTGAGGTGCTTACCTCAGGCACAAAATTTAAGGAGTGCCAAAACGCTCAGATAGATAACATTTGAATGCAATATTTAAGAATAAAATGGCACACTTTGACCTGTGAGCTGGAGGGCTTGTTTTTATAAATAAAGTTTTATTGGATCTGGGGCCACGATGACAGTAAGATGAGTGGAGGCAGGCTATGCAGGCACAGGGACATATACTATCTTTATTTAAAATGTTGATATTTTGTTGGCCATGGATTTTTTGCATTAATTTAAACTTTTTAAATAGTACATTAAACTATTATTTATCTTACTAGGTTTTTTCTGGCACCTTCTCAAATTTTGAGCCAGAGGTACCTCATCAGCTTTGCATTAATCTCAGCACTGTCCCTGGATGACCTTGGGTTTGGTTGTTAAGTCAGATGGCTTGGGAGAATTACGTATTGATCAGCATGATAGGGAAGGAGAAATTCTCTCTTGGCTCCTGCTTTTGCTAACAGTCATTCTCTACTGAGGAAAAGCAATAGGGAACAATTACTTAGCTTTTCTTTCCAACTATTACTCAGTCCTTCCCCAAAGGGAGCAAGACTAGCTAAACTGATTCATGAGAGAGACACTATCGTATAATGTTTTATTAGAGTTGTTTCGAAAGTCAACATTCTACTCTATTTGTTGCTTGCTGGTGATGGGCCCTTTTTTGTTTTCTGTTCCTACCTGAAAGCACAATTGGGACTACTTGGGACCTGCTATAATCTTTTGCACTCTGTTCTGCCCATTTCTGGATGTGTGGGAGGTGACCGATGGCATCCTTTCAGGAGTTGGATGAGAGAGCTAGCATGTGCTCTGCAGATCTACTTTCTCCTGGATTCATAGGTCAAAATTTGGGGGATGGGAAGTAGGAGGTCTAACTGTTCTCTTTAGTCAGTTCTTATGAAAAGCTCTGGTAAACAGTGTCCCTTACTCTCCAAGCAGGCTTGTTATTCTGTGCCTGTTCTCTGTCAGTGAGAACCTGGTGGGGAGAAGGGGGCGAGTGATTAGCACCTTAAACCTCCAAGCTTCACAAGCCTTGAAATGTACAAACCTGCTGATACAGCTTCTCCATTTCCTGGAATTCATCTTAAAGAAGTAATTGAGAGTGTGTTAAAAATTTAAGGATGATCACTGACGCATTATTTAAAATCGTGAAGACTTGTAAGTCTTCAGATATTCAACAGTAGGCAGTTGATTATATAAATTGTGCATTCATACAATACACCATTAAAGGTGGGAGCAGCATATATACTGAAGTGAAATTATGATCTTAGTGTATTGATAAAGTGAAAAGAGAGAAATTACAAAATAGTATGTGGCTTTTTAAAGTGTCATCTTTGCATTAAGAAATTGATAAAAAAAAAAATCCTAAAATATTGTCATTAATGATAGTGATGAAATTAGGGGTGATTTTTTATCTTCTTCTTTTTGTATATGTACATTTTATAACTTATCTGCAGTGAACATGTCTTACATACATAATAAAAATAACTTAAAAGAGGAAAAAACCCACTTCCTTTTTTTTTTTTAAGATTTATTGATTTTTATTTTGAGAGAGACAGCATGGGTGTGCATGAATGGGAGGGGCAGTAGGACAGTGAGAAAGAATCCCAAGCAGACTCTGTGGGGAGAGTGAAGCCTGCCATGGGGTTCGATCCCACAACCCCAAAATCATACCCAGGTGGAAACCAGGAATCAGAAGTCCAACCCACTGCATCACCCAGGTGCCCCCTTCCCACACTTCCCTTTCTTAGAATGGAATCAAGTAACAATAGAAGAATCTCCTGAAAAATATAAGCTATATATATCCATGAAAATAAATCAACAATTCCCATTTAAAGATTCTTTTCTTGCCTGCCTCCTCTTCATCTATAATGGACATAAATTCAAAAGATGGGGAGAAAATCATAGACTGTCAAAAATTTTTAGAAAAAGATTCATACGGCATTTTTTAGTTTTACTGTGAAAGATGGTTATTTATTAGTTTAAGTGAGGCTCTATTCCTTCCCAGGATGCATCATATGAGAAAATATGTCATTATACTCCATGCACACAGGCAATCTTTTAGCTAAATACTTCTTCCAGAAGGCAGGAGACCTCAATGCCTTTGGAACATCTCTCCTATTGACTTATACCTTAACCACTTATTAACTGTGTGAACTTGGACAAATTATTTAACTTCTCTAAGCTGCAGGATCCCCATCTGTAAAAGAGTAATAATTATACCCATCTTACAGACAGTTGTGAGGTTTAGAGATGATGTATACATGAAGCTTATAAAAATAACCTGGCATATACTAGGCTGTTAATGATTAAAAGTCCTTGCAATTCACAGGAATATACCAGCATATGTGGTAAGGGAGAGGGGAGTGTAGGCCAACCTGCAATCTGCACAGAGTACCTTGCTGTAGACACACACACACACACACACACACACACACACACACACCCTCTGAAGTTACCCTACTTACAGACGCAAGAACATCATCAAGCTGCCTCCCACCATGGTTGGAAACAATGATGCCATGGACATTGTGCTTCACAGCTAACTCTGCATCCTCTTTTGTCAAGATCCCTTTAAGGATGATGGGCAATCGAGTTATGCTCTGAAGCCAGGAGAGATCGTTCCAGCAGAAGGATGCATCAATGGGAAACATCTGGAAATAAGGCATTGGATTTCTCTGTGGGGAAGAAAAAAGAATCTTAGACTTGAGCTCCTTTAGGATTGTTTGATACATTTCAAAATGAGACACATTCAGATAGTCATCCTTCATAAGCCTTAAAAGAAGAGTAACGAAATCAACAACTTCCAGCCATCCTTTGCTTAACAAAATTTGTGCAAAAGAATCACTATTTTAATTTCTTATTCATTAACCATTAATTGTGTCCCTGCTCAATAACTATGCCAGAATCTGGGGACACAAAGACAAGACACAGTCCCTACTTTAAAGGAACTGAGTTTAGTAAGTGAAGGGGATAAATGAAAGTATTTATAGGCTGATGTAAACTGTTATGCTTGAGATATACACAAGGTCATAAGAATTAAGAAATACTTTGATAATCCTGAACCAGATACTACCTTATAGTTAACCTTGGCTCATAATTTGAATCAAATATCCCATAAATCCCAATGTGTCCCTGTAATCTGAGATAAGGATTCCAGAAAACTTCAAGGCTAATTTGTGGTTAATGGGTAGAACGGTTGAGTCACTTGGCTGGGTATCACAGCTGCTCATTGACTGAAAAGGCTGGTATAATTATCTCTAATGTAGTCAAGGGACTCCAATGTTATCACTACTTTCTTGCTCAGGGGCACTCCATCCCATCTGACTGTAGGGTTTTAATGGGGAAATGGCCTTTGCAGTCATCTATTTCAGAGGTTCCAAACAAGTGTGCTGCAGATCCAGGGAGTTCTAAGTGTAGAGAGATACTGACTCTCAGTTCTCAAAGTAGGGTGGGGCCTGAGCTGGTTATACTCCTTGGGCCAGTTACCTTGTCTGTGAGCATCTTCAGGAGGTCAGTTTACCTAAATATGCCATCCAAAATTATCATTTTCTAAGTGTCCCATAGTGTAGAAAATGTTGGAAGAACATGCTTAATTTACTCTCCTACTGCATGAAAAAATCCTTTTCATAGCTTTCCTATTTCCTAGCACCCAGCCCTGGCCAGAACACTTCTGGTGACAGGTTGGGTGCCTCCAGGAGTGAGGATATTTTGTGTTCTATTCTGTTCATCTGGAAGCTCTGGACAGCAGGAATCAGCTCAGCTTTTTGAACTATGGCATCTGCAGTATCTGCCAAGAGCAAGCACTCTGAACTTTTGTGGAAATAGAGAAAGGAGGAAGGAGGAGAGGAAATTTGCCTCCTGTTATGCTTGCCCATTGGATCTGGTATTTTTCCTACCTCTTTAGGTGAGCGAAGGTCTTTCAGCAATAAGTTCATCTTTAAGTCCAGTTGGTTTTGAATGTCCTGTCTCCTGTTGCCAAGTTTGGGTACATCCACAGTGATGACCAGAGCTTTGAAACCCAGGGATTCAACTTTCTGGACCAGCTGTTTGTTGAGCTGCTTGTCTGACTGCATATAGAGTTGGAACCACCTGAGGCCCCTGGGAGCAGTAGCAACAATGTCTTCAAGGGCACAGCTGGCATAGGTGCTGGTGATGTAGCAGATCCCAGCTGCTTGGGCAGCTACAAAGCAAACAGCAAAACTCAGTTTGGATGGAGAGCAGGGTTCTGGACTAGGGTGACTAGAGTCTGGGCCACCTCTGATCAGTTTACCCTGTGAGTGAAGATAAAGCTTGACTCCATTCTGCTTCTCATTAGGGTAGGAGGCATAGGGGGCATTCAGTCAGCCTGGGAGGCTGTCCCCATATATAGCCTGTCTTCTAGACCCTGTTAAGATTCCTAGCTAGAGGGGTCATTTAGTACCCAGAGTGATTTTGGACATGGTGCAGCTTCCAGATGGGAGAATGGGCTGCGCATGAACTTGTAAATGATGCAGAAGGGAACTAGAGAACAAAGGGTGAGGAAATGTAATGTCAGTGGAGAAGGCTGATCTTTGTACTGAAGAAAGCATAATATCTGAGTTATCTTTGTACTGAAGAAGGCATAATATCTGGGTTAGAAGAATGCTAGTTCTACTCCTCCTTAGCTGTGTGCCTTGAGTACCATTTTCTTCATCTGTAAAATGGAGAGAAATAATACTACCTCTCTTATAGGGTTGCGGAAAATTAAACAGGATACTAGATATGGAAGCATTTCTATGTATTTTATTTATTTATTATTATTATGTTTTAAGTAAGGCTAGGTATGGAGCTCATGACCCTGAGATCAAGACCAGAGCTGATATTAGGAGTCAATCTTAACCAACTGAGCCACCCACACACCCCTGGAAGCATTTTTTTTTAAGATTTTATTTATTTATTTACTCATGAGTGACACAAAGAGAGAGACAGAGACATAGACAGAGGGAGAAGAAGGCTCCTCAGCAGGGAGCCCGATAGGAGATTGCATTCCTGGACCCAGGATCATGCCCTGAGCTGAAGGCAGACGCTCAAATGCTGAACCACCCAGGCATCCCTCTGGAAGCATTTTTAAAATTACTATGTGATGTGCTGTACAAATGCTTGGTGATAACGAGGTTGGCCAGGATGGTGGTGATGATGATGTTGACATTGCTGCATATTTCTCATTTCCTACTGTGATCATTGTTTTCTGTAGGATTCTCCAGTAGGCTAATGTCACTACCATTTCACAACCCTTGGGTACAGAATCTGACCTAATCAGGATTTAATATTTTCAATTCCTAACATCAACAGGAGATACCACATTCTTTTGCCCCACTACAAAAACAACACCACACATTCAACCATGAAGATTTAGTAAAGCAGTCATAGTCCTACAGAATATTCATGTTTCAGTCTAACCAGACTTGGCTCCTAACCAGACAGATGTCACTTCCAGCTCTAGAATCCTTGGATTCATTGCTTCCTATATCACAGGGTCAAAGTAAAAGATCCTTGGGAAGCCCTGGGCAATGTGCAAATAAAATATTTCCTAGGTTTGGCCTATATAGTAAAGATTATAAAGGGAGTCACAAGACTGTTTTCAGCCTCATCCCTCCCCTCTTCCTTCTCTTCTTTTTCGGTCAAGTGGGATGAGAGAAGAGAATAAGGAACTACTAGGAAGGAGACATACTCAATAAGAAAATTTTTGTCATATAAAATGACAAAGTCAGTCAAGGAGAAGGGAAATGCAACTTTGAGCAGGAGCACTGCCAGGGCCTTTGTTAGGACCTCATGTTATGACTCTCTCCTCATCCTAAATTCAGAGACTCACCATTTACTCACCATTTACTCACCAGGCCTGGCCCAAGAAGGCGTTCAAAGAGAGCCCTATCTTGAAGCCATGCTGAGAATCCCTTTCTCCACAGACTGAGTGGCCTGCAACCCTCCTTCAAAGGATAGCTTGCTTAATTTAATTTAATTTCCACATCTATTCATCTGTAGCCGCCCTCTCTAACCATTCATTATGTTGGAAAGGGATGTTTTCTCAATCTTAGAGGAGATGTTATGGGAACATCCCTCCTTAATTCTGACCAGATTGATGTCCCTAAGCTCCTTCTAGAAGAAATCCTGCTACTGCTCTGACGGATATCCGCACAGTTCAGGGCCCCAGAGAAGAGAGCCTCAAGGTGTGGCTGGGTCATACCTCTGGCTGTGCTCATTTCTCCATCTGGCCAGACAAGGCAGTGGAAACCTGTGGGTGAGATGCAAATGGGGGCAGTAATCTCCTCCCCTTGGACTGTGGTCCGGGTGTCCACCTCTTGCACATCCTTCAGGTACCGGGGACGGAGGCGGATTCTGTGCTCAGAAACAAAGATTCTTCTATTAGTGAGGTTACTCTCAGCATGTAGTGCTGTCTGGTGCTGAGGCCTCCAGATTCTGGTGCAGGTCTACACCAGACTGGTGCCAAGAAGCCTCTGGTGGGGTTGGTTGGCTGATTGGGCCACGCAGACCAACTTTCAGAAAGCATTTCCCAATACTCTGACTCACATTAACAACAGTTTCTCTAACCCCCAGTGCATGTGTCCTCCACATTGCTTCCAGGTTTGCTCTCTCACAGGTCTGTGTCTTTGAGTTTTGTTTGCCTTCCTGAACAGACTCTTAGCACTTGGATGCTATGATTCACTTACCATAACAAGGATTAGAAAAGAAAAGAATAGGGCGGCCTGGGTGGCTCAGCGGTTTAGCGCTGCCTTCAGCCCGGGGCCTGATCCTGAAGACCTGGGGATCCAGTCCCCTGTCGGGGTCCCTGCATGGAGCCTGCTTTTCCCTCTGCCTATGTATCTCCCTCCCTCCCTCCCTCTCTCTCTCTCTGTCTCTCATGAATAAATAAACGAATTTTTTTAAAAAAAGAAAAAAGAATAAGCAGGAAGGAGTTCTAGGCTCTTCCCTCATGAGTTAGAAACAAGTCTCTATAAAGAAAAGGCCACTGAAAGAGGACAAATTCCAGAGAATGATCATGGTGGGGGTTTGTTTTGTTTTATTTGTTTTTGTGTTTTGCTAGAGGCTAACTCATTTGAAGATTTGACTTAACCATTGCTTTAGAAAAAAGGAAATTCACAAATAATAAATATATAAAACACACTTTAAGTCCAATAAATACTTAGGCTCAGGTCCAAAAATGTTTGTTTTTCACAAAATGTTATTATTCCTGCACACAAATTGTAAAAAAGTTTTGCTAGAAATACTGATAGTACAAACGTAGGTAAGATACAAACTTCATCATGAAGACAAAGTGAGATAAAGTGAGTAAGGGGCCTCATAGAGTGCTAAACAAGTATGAAAATGCAGAATATGTTGTTCACCTTGTATTCCATTTTTCAATTTTCTCCTGACCTTCCTATTATGGGGGGAGAGCAAATTTTTTCTGTAAAAGGCCAGATAGCAAACATTTTAGGCTTAATGGGCCATGTAGTCTGTCACGGTTATTCAGATTTGCTGTTGGAATGCAAAAGCAGCCATAGAGACATGTTAAATGACTGAGCATGGCTGGTTCTAATAAAACTTTATCTATAGATGCTGAAATTTGAATTTCAAATAATTTTTATGTATAACAAATTACCATTCTTCTTTTGATTTTTTTTCAACTGTTTAAAAATGGAAAACAGAAATTCTTAGCTTGTGGACCATCCAAAAACAGGTGGAGGGCCCGATGTAGCCTGTGGGCTGTTTACTACTCTATGCTCTACCTGCTGCTGTTCTAGACCAGCTCTTCTCCTTTGAAGTCAACTTCCTGTCACCCCTAAGACCCTTTGGGTCTCCATATTTCCTGTGTTCCCTCTCTCGACATACATTACCTCCTTTAAGTCAGAGGTTTAGGAACTCGGGAGATTTAGACCTACCCAGCTGGCTTTTTCTCCCAGCCCAGGTAACTGGCAACCTTGGACTCTTATATTATCTTGTCAGGTGGCAAAGTTGCTGGGATGCAGAGGGAGGATGACTTGTGCTAGTTCCACAGAGGCACTAAGATAAGTTCTTTGTCCATTCATCCTCTCCCCAGCCACCTGCCCCTCCCCTCAAAATCCCCTAAAACCCGAAACAGTAACAACAAAGACCATTAATATATCTTGAGTATTCTGTGCTCTTTGGAGGCAGAGAGCAGAGCTACTACATTCCAAAGACCTCTCACACAGTGCACCTTAGTTTAACAATAGAAAGGATACAGGAGACCAGACAGACTTTTTAAATGCTGTGATGTTGTCATCCCGGGTGAAACATTCATCAGCTCCTCCTTCAATATAATCCCAAGTTGACTTAGACAGATGCTTCTGGGCATAAGCCTGAAAGTCTGTCAAACACACCAAGGGCATTTCTGGAATTTCTGGACCTTCAAAGGAAAAACCAAAACCAAACAAACAGGACACTGAGAATACGTCAGATATAGAGGAGAACGTAAATGTGGGGGCTGTGGCTTGAAGCTATTTGGATTCAACATTAATTTCCCTGTAGTCTTTATCCCAATGGAAGTACTGCCAAAGGTGCTAAAACCACACTTCCATTCTCCCACCCTCATCCCCAAATGCTGATTATCTGGTCTTCTAAAATATCCTCATGTCTGTACCCACAGCTCTACACCCACTGCCTCAGATCCATTTGAGGTCCTAGCACCTCTTATAAGATTATTACAGAAGCTTCTTATCTTTGTCTCTCAGCTTTCAGATTCACTCTCTATCTTGTCTCCCTCCAGCTCCTGGGATCCTTCTGAAATATAAGTCTGATCAAATGCCCATGTGATGGCATTCACAGCTTTCCTGGACCAGCTCCTGTCTTATCAGCTTCATTCCGGGTAGCTATTCCTTGTCATTTGAGTCACTGTGAGTATTTTCTGAACATGCCCAAGGGTTTTCCTAGCTCTCTATGTTTTTGGAAGGATATCCATGAGGCTGGAAAAATTGTAACTGAACTGATGCCATTACCCGGGAGCTCCTGGGAATCTCTGGATGAATGAATTGCTTGGGGCCCTGGTTGACATCAGGGAGAAGCTATTTTTGACTCCTTGGCTGAGTCATTGAACATGTTCATCTTAAGACCAAGTGACCTCCATATGTGACCTCCATTCATCCTCACCTCCAATTTAAGTAAACCTGGAGCTTGGAGCTTCTAAACACCCACCCTCCACCCCCTGCTGCCTAAAGAGGAAAGAGGGCATGGTTTGAGGATAGATCCCTCTGGTAGGGGCAAGTGCAGTGGGAACTCTAGCTGCAGAGATACTAAAGGCACTGGTCGCAGTCAGGTACAGTATGTGGATCTCCCACATGAGAAGATTCCAGCAGGAAAGGCTGAGAAATCTGTAGTCCATAGTCCTGGGCACCTCCCTGGCAGCTGGCACTGGAGTAAAAATTAGCCAAAGGCTGTGAGTAAAAATGAAATGACTTTTAAGTCATTGACTGAGGGACAGAGATAATAGGCCCCAGAAACTAGGGCTTCAAATGTGAATGGGGAGGCTCCTCTAATGGACAAAGGGGCCAAGGAAACCAGGTGAAATGTGAAGTGGTGGGGATCTTGGAAAGGGTAGGGATGGGGTAGAACTGGTGGAGGCAGCCAGGGCCATACTAGAATTTAATCAGGTCAAACAAAGAAGTAACCCCAAATACCTACCCAAGAGGTTAAGCAGAAAGAAGTTATGACAGGCAGAAAACAGAGCCCTTGGGATGTGCAGTGAGGAATTTGGAGCATAGCCACCGTGCTTTTTATAGACAATGCTCTTTGTCAGTGAATGGGAAAGGAGTTATTGAGGTGCTGAATTGAGTTTGACAAGGTAAAACAACCAAGTCTAATTTATCTCTTTCTCGCCCAACCCTTCAAAGTCTCAGTGACTCTGGTCGAATAAATTAATCATTGTATTTATCCATCTGCATTGCCATCACTGATTTAAACCTCTGTGTGCATAAAAGAGTTAACATAGCAGGCTCTAGGCCTGCTTTCAAAGTTGGACCTTGGTTGGAGTCTGGGAACTTGGACTTCAAAAGGGTTCCCACTATTCCCTGATAAGAATAGCATGGCTCACTATGTCTGAATTGATTGCACAAACAACCTGGTTTATGCTGAACATCTGCTTTCCCTCTGAGGGTCTAGAATTTTGGCATGGGTTCAGCAGAGAGTGTCAATATGACCACCCCGCAACAAAAAGCCTTGGGCAATGAGTCTCTAAAATGAGCTTCTCTAGTGGCCAATGCTTCAAACGTGTTGTCACAACTCATGGCTGGAGGAATTAAGTGCATCTTGCATAATTCCACTGGGAGAGAACTCTTGGAAGTTTTTATAGCTATTTCCCCTCTGGATTTTGCCCTTTGTGAGCCTTTTCCCTTTGCTAATTTTGCTTCTCATTCTTTCTCTGTAATTAATCATAGCCTTAACTACATGCTGTGTGCTATGAGTCCTCCTAGTAAATCACTGAATTGGGACCCCAACATGCTTTGTATCCCCATCACTGTATGTGACAGTGAGGTGCTGTTCATGAATGTTCATTATTTGAATTTAACATTCTCCTGTTTCGTCATCTCTGCCTTATTAGATGAGAATTCTCCACCAGGTTTCTACTCCTAAGGTCTCAACAAATCTCCATATCCTATACATTGCACATTCACAGAAATGATGTTCTGCAGATTTCTGGCACAAGACCTCAATAACACTTAAGTCTAGTCCAAGAGAAATGGCTCAGACTCACTCAGAATTACTTGCCTGGAATAGTGGGAATTATAGCATCTGGAAACTGCTTGGAAATAAAGAAATAGCTCAGCATCTTTGTATATACCAAACACTTCATTATCACATTTCTATTTACAATTTCTTTTTCTCTCTACTATTTCCTTTCTACTTCCCTGTGAAGCAGAGAAGGTATTAGTGTCTTCATTTTGCATTTGGAAAGAATGAGGCCTAGGATATGGACTAACTTGTGAAATATCAGGCAGTAAATTATGACCGGGGAAGGCTCAGACTCCTGTATTCTGGTAGCCCCTAAAGATAGACATTCTGTTTTTTCAATTTCATGGTGCAGAGAAAAATAGTTGGTTCACATAAATTACTCATTTTATTAACTTTAAAAGAATTTCTCAGGATGAAAATATAATTATAATGCATTTTTGTCTTTTCATAGCTTAATAAAGTACTGAGCCCATTATTTTTATCAGAGGTCCAATATGAGACCTCTAGTTGACCAGAAGGACAAATCCATTGTTCAAAGCTTTCCCCACATTTGGAAGGGACACTTAACACTATGTTTTTATGTATCTCAGTTTGATCCATACCAGACTTAAAGCCACCAGGAATTCAAGAGAGGATCCAAATTATCAAGCGGTTTTCTTGTATTCCCATTTTATTTGATCTCAACTGCAGTGTTTTTTTCTTTTTTTCTCCTCTATCCCAACTACCCAAGATGAAGAGAAAGTGGAGAAAAGGATAGAAAGGGTAAAAGTCTCTTGTGAGAACTTTAGCTCATTGTAGGTGATTTAATTTATTCAGGCTTTTTGTCTCCTGGTTAAAAAAAATGGTGAAATATAACTAGCATATATGGGTGATAAAAAAAAAAAGCCCAAACATAAGAGCAAGGACATTCAGTAGTACCTGTTGCTCATGATTGGAAGTTCAAGCAGTTTTCCCTGATGGGGAAAGAAAGAATGACATAGACTATGATCAGTAGGCATTTCAAGGGCAGACCTTTTCTTCAAGATTGCCATTTGATATAATGCAGTTAGGCTAGATAAACAAGTTGTCTGTCTTTGAAGATTTTAGATGACTCATAATTCATGTTGGTGTTACTTTAGGAATCTGGTTTATCCAGAGCTTCTATTTGTGTGAGAAACCCCTAGGTGTTCTGTAAGAAATCTCAGGGTGGAAATCCCAGGGCAGGTCATTGAGATACAAGGGGAGCAAAGGCTGCTTCTAAGAACCCAGCTCCAGGTGCAAATGTTTGATGATGAAAGGTGGTGTCCTTCAAGACCCTCTGACCTGGTCCCCTGGGAACTTATGCCAAGTTTCTCAATGAAGTGGTAGAGATAACATCAAGGCTATACTTGGGGGACCTTATCCGAGGGATTACACTATTCAAGGTTGGCTGAAAGTGCTTTAATCACTGTATATGAGATGACAGCCTCAAGGAGAGTAGTTGCAAAGCCTACAGCCATTACCATAGCAACGGTAGCCCTGGGAGAGGAGACACCGGAGCACAAGGAGGCCCTGGCCCATGTGTGGTGGTAGAGGGAGGGGGGTCCCAGGGCTGGGACCACAGTCAGTGTCAGGACCAGAGAAGACATGAACCAGCAATGCCCTGACTGAGGCACATAAGCTCCCAGGGAGTCTTCCAAATGGGGAGGAAAGGTCAGGGTAAAGGAGCTGGATTTCTAGGAACATCTGGTCAGATATCAGAGTGTCCGTAACATTGAGGGTTACATTTATATGGGAGCAGTGAGGGAACAAGGGGCCCAGTGTGGGTCTGTCAGCCACTAGCCTAGTCAAATCACTTCTGGCCTTTCTCCTGAGCCCTCACAAGATATGAATGGAGGACTCAGGACCCCTTCCAGGCTACGATGGACATTTTAAAAATTTTTATTCTGTTTTGTGTAATAATCATCTTTCCTCTTCAGCCTCCACTCCTCAACTACTCCCATTAAATGATTTTTCTTTTCAATAATTCAACTTCTCTTGACCTATAGTCATGTTCTACCATGAGGAGTAGGATGTTCCAGTTCTTCAGAACCTCTTCTGCAAGGATGATGAGGAATGACTCGTGTCTACCCCAGAAGCTTTGTTTATCACAAGTTGAAGTTTTTGAGGCTCTGAGGCGAAGTACATTTATATTAAGGATATACTCACCCTGAAACTATTGTGACCTGATTAGGTCATTAGCCACCCACTGCCCTACCTCCCCAGGCCACAAGACTACAGATCCTGCCTGGTAAGGATTAGAAGACAATTAGAGCTGTGAGGGACTTCAGAAAGAGGAAAAGATGTGTGCAAACCTATACCATAGCACAATTTAAAATGAACTTAGGTCTTCCGTCTCCACATTCAGTGCTCTTGCTGACATATTGGGTGACTCTAGCATTTTCCTCTGGATAACTGGGCAATGGTACCTGGATTCACTTCTCTTTGAGGACTAGCTTCTCAGCATAAACCCAAGGCTTCCAGAGGTTCTTGGCTGACTCAGTCAGTGGAGCATGTGACTCTTGATCTTGGGGTTGGGAGTTCGAGTCCCACATTGGGTGTAGAGATTACTTAATAAAATCTTAAAAAAAAAATCCTAAGGTTTCCAGAGACTTACCTACACTGGATTTCATCATTCCACTTTCTCCTCTACTCCTGACCCAACTTGGTTAGCCAATATCAGCCAGAAGGGCTGAAGTTAGAGGTATTGCATAAACTGGACTAGGGGACTGGTCAGTGGACTGATGATGGCAGCAGACTGACAGGCAACCTGCTTTGGAGAAGTTCCTGACACTTATTAATTATATGAGCATAGGCAAAGCTATTTCCTCTCCCTGGGCCTCAGCTTCTCATTTGAAAACTATAGGTTTTTATAGATTTTCCTTTTAATCTCTACCGGATTTGAAGCCACCAGAAACTAAAGCCACTAGAAATTGAGGTCTTTGGTGTCTTCACATGCTTGGCTGGCCAGTAAACACAAAGACCTCATTTATATGCAGCCGTGTTGACGTTCTAGTCAACCACTTACTTCGTGGCGGTAAAGTACAGAACAGGGAACCAGCACAGCCTTTGGGCTTATTTCCTAACACCAAGTGACTGGGTACTCACAACCTTCCTTCTCTCTCACTCCTCAACTTTGAGGCCTCTCTTTCTTTAAGTTGCTCTGGCCCTGTGGCGCCACCTTATGGCTTCAGTGGGGAACTGTTAGACCAGTCACAGCACCGCTTCCCTTCTACAAGAGGATGTGGGCTCTCACTCAACCTGGGTTCCCTACTCCCAGACCCCGGGGAGTCCATTTTACTACATATGTATGCCTTTTCCTCCTTTCTCCATTTATCCAAACCATTGGCTGATTTTTCTTTTTCTGAGAATCCTTCTCACGAATTCTTCTCTTTGCCTGATCTTTCCCATTTCTTTCCCTTTACTGTTTGGAAACCAGAGATAACTCCATTGTGGAAGATGAGATATAGTCTCTTGGATTAAGAACAAAAAAGTAAAAAAAAAAAAAAACAAAGAAATTTTAAAAATTTGAAGTCACATTAGATGTGGTAAAGAACCTTCAAAGTCTTTGAAAACACCCTCAGAGGCACCTTAAGTAAAGAACCTTAAGGGAGGATTCTCTGAATTCTGTCTTCCTCAAATTAAGCCTGCTTTTCCTCATCGCCATTATTTATGAAAAATAAAAGAAACTACGCATTCTATGCGTAGGTTCTATGAAAAATCCTTGGGAGGACTGAACCATATAGCCTTCTTCAAATGAGAAGCTGAAGCCCAGGGAGAGGAAATAGCTTTGCCTATGCTCATATAATTAATAAGTACGTAATTTTCTTTGTTTTCAGTTTCAGCCTAAGACTAGCAATGCAACAGCGTTGCTTTATACTCATTTGCATTGCAAATAAGCCAATTTTCTGCTACTTTGTGAACCAAATGGGTATTTCCAGTGACCTGGGAACCCAACCACTATTTTAATAGCATTCTTTCAATGGGAAAATATGTGTTGAGTTCCAAACAAATGACTTTCAAGTAGAGTTTTGGAGCACGGCCATGTTGTGTTTTGTTTTTCATTTGCTTTTTATTGAAGTTCAATCTGCCAACGTATAGTATACACCCTGTGCTCATCCCATCAAGCGCCCTCTTCAGTGCAGAGCACAGCCATGTTGTAAATTATGTGCTTTCTATGAGATTGTGGGAGACTGTTTGGGCATACTGGGAGATATTGATCCAAGTGCTCATATGGTGTTTTGAAAGTTTGGGGATTTTCTAATTCTATTGGCCAGTGGAATAATTTGAATACAAAAAGAACCTTGGAGATGGCATGATGGCTTCTTGATGATAAAATGACAGTAACATTGCAACCATTTATCAAGTGCTGTATGTTGTGCCATGCACCATGTAGATTGTTTTATGTGCATTAATATTTCAACCCTTATAATAATTCCCATTTCACAGATGAGAAATCTGAAGCTTAATACTTTGCCCAGCATCACACATTGGTAATATGTTTTGACTTCTATGGCCTGGCTCTTAAGCATCATGAAAAAAAGCAAATGTGTATAGCCAAGTATGTTTTTTTTTTCCAAGTATGGTTTATAGAATGAGAGAGTTGGCATTTAAATGCCATAGGCTTATGTAGCTTTGCCCGACAAGTTCCCTCAAGAAGATGTAACTCAATAAGAAAGCAAGAAAATTTCATTATTTGGCTGGCCATGAACAATAACCAGTTAAGCAATCTTAGCAATCTAAAAGCATTCTTACATATATTATTCCATTACATGCCCACAATAACCCAGTGAGATAGTGATCAGAGGGTAGATATACAACAGTCTCACTTTATGGATGAAAACGTTCAAACCCAGAGAATTCAGGTGATTTATGCTCACACAATAAGAATAGCAAAGCCTGACCAGAAATCCTTCTGACTTGCTCTGGATATAGTTGAGCTGGTATGGAGTAGTAATGGTGTATTAGGAGACAGTCAGGTCTCTGTCTCATGGGATTGGGAGAGCTGCATATAGCAAGCGTGGCCAATTCCCAGACAATCTAGGCTATTGAGGAAGGTGTCCTGGACGGAGATCATCATTCCTGCCTCTTCGTTTGCTTAAACAGATGAACTGTGCAAAACAGACATCAGAAACTACACAAATGTTCAGAACAAGCTCCAAACTCTATTCTTTTTACAATTGGCTTTAGATCTTGTAGGTGCATTTCTGTCTGATAGTGGTAGTCCTTAGGAGGAGGTAGCAGGAGAGAAACGAAAAAAGGCAGGGCTGTTGGAAATGGGGAAAACCAGCTATGAAATGGAGCTCTGTCCCTTTTTGCCTTCCTCCTAGCACATCTCACTATGGCAATGACTCTAGACTGTATTTCTGAAGGTCATTGCTTTCAGCAGCTAATGATGTTCCCTACATCCTTAATAGCTGAGGGAGTCCATGGAGGAAGATAGACTTTTGTAAGTTTTGCAACTTGGCCTACTTGGGCTCAAACCTCAGTCTGCTACCTGGTTCTCAGTCGCCATGGTTCTATGAAAAAGTAATTTGTGAAAGAAGAATCTTAAGGCCTATCCCCTAGAATCCTTGGGAGGACTGAACCATATAGTCTATGTAAAGTTCCTAGAACATTGCCTTGTGTAGAGTAGTCCTCAATAAATGGTAGCTTCATGTACATTATTCCCCTTGTTGATGACATTTGCATTCTCATCAGAGTCTCTGGAGGTTGGAAGTTGCTTCAATTTTGTGATAGCATAATTTAGGCCCTGTGTCAGGTTTACTCATTAGTTTATCTAAAATTTGTCAAGTATACACTGTCAGCCAGGAAGGCAGAAACTTTTACTACTCATCATATGCTCCATGACATCTCCCAGTTGCTATGAGATGGCAGGGCTCTGCGACTAGTTCTGGCCAGTGGGCAAGGAGTGAAGTAACATGTGTTAAATCCTGGGCCAGGAATTTAAGAACTGATGTGTAGCCCTTGATCTTTCTCTTCTTTTGGATACAATAATCCGGAGGCCATTATCCCCTGAAGGCATAGCTACAAGATAAAGGCAGCTTTGGTCTCTGAATTATCATTTGGACAGGAGAGGCCCTGGAGATCAGCTGATTTTGTATGAGCCAGAAATGAATATTTATGTATTAACTCACTGAGATCTCAGGGTTTATTCTCTACTACAGCACAACCAAACCTAACTACTATATATATCTAGGCATTGTGCTGAACAATAGAAATTTTTAAAAATTTTTTCAGGATGTCAATCTCTACTCTCAAGAAGCTTACAGTCAAAGAAGACAGATTTCAATAGCTTATTCTCTGTTAGTTGCTATGGCATAGAGTATAACAGGAATCCTTTCCTTAGGGAAGGTATCTGGGGATTTTGGAATATTCCAATTGTTTCTCAAGTAATGTCAATAGATGATATTCTACTCCATCTAGTTTAGACAAGCTCCAATTCTCAGCTATCCATAAAATGAGGAAGTGATTATCTTATTGTAGTTTCTGAAGCAGAGCCTTCCTTTGCTAGTTCCCTCAGTGTCCCTTGGTCTGTCTCTATACAGCCCCTTTTGGCCACATCTCTCACCTTGAAAACTTACAACCAGCATCTATAATGCTCACACAATCTCTGGCCTCTCTTCTAGACCTCCTGCCACTTCATCTGCTTCCCCCATTCCAAGCTCTCAAATGACACTCAGCAACAAACCTGATATTAGCGTCTTCCAGTCTCTGGGGAGAGTGGTGTTCAGAGGCAGCTGTTGAAAGCCCGGCTCACTGCTGGATGTGGTAGGAAACGTAGGTCATTGTCCACAACTCCATGAGTTCAGAAGAGGTTCAAGGCAATAAGTTAATTTTCCAGCTTGGAAGTAAATGAGCAACTAGGCCAGAGCAAGGTTAATCTTGAAATGAACCTTGTGGGTTTTGCAAAGTCACCTCAAATTTAAGTGAGTTCATTACAAAATTAAGCTTCAAAATAAAATAGTAGTGGGACACCTGGGTGGCTCAGCAGTTGAGTGTCTGCCTTTGGTTCAGGGCGTGATCCTGGACCGAGTCCCGCATCAGGCTTCCTGCATGGAGCCTGCTTCTCCCTCTGCCTATGTCTCTGCCTCTCTCTCTGTATGTCTCTTGTGAATAAATAAATAAAATCTTTAGAATAAATAAATAAAAAATACAATAAAATAGTTGCTTGTTTGCTCCCAAGCCATACATGTTCCCATTTCGTTAAAGATGGTTTCAGGAAGGGAGAAAGTGATTTCAGGTGGAGAATTACAAAAGCCTCTGTGTTGTAAAAGAAAGGCTTATCTGGGGAGGTTCACTGATGGTCAAGGATTAAGGCATAACTTGTCCAGATCCTTCCCTCTGTGCCCGTCCCCAGCTCTTGTCACATCCCCTTAGCAGTATAACAGCAATTAACATTTATTAATTGTTTATAATGTGCCTGACATATTGCCGGCATTATTTTACTCAATCCTTACTGCAACGATATGGGCATATATTATTTTCCCCATTTTTTTCAGGAGAGAAAATGAGTTATTGAACTTGTCCTTTCTTCCCTAAGGAGGAGAGCTGGGATTTGACTCTAGCATGCAGCCACCATTCAGTGGCATGTGGAAATTGTAGGCAGTTCTGCTGACCATGGTAGTGGGATCTGTCTGTCTTCTGGATCTGTGGTTAGAGCAAAAAATCACTTTCCTGCTATTTGTTATGCCTTCCCCCACTGGCTCCTCTATACTGCATTTGCTTGGAAAGTAACTGCTATCTGTTGTATTACCACTAGATAGCAGCATTACTTCAGAAATGCTTTTCAAAGACTCCATAATCTGGGATCCGGAAATCCCATAGGAGTTTTCACTCCAGGATCAACCTGTAGGTCATGCCCACAGTCAGCTCCCTCAACACCAGCCTGCTCACTGTCCCCTGACCCAGACTTTCCATTGCCATTTCCCAATCTTGGATCATGCCCCTCCCTTCCAGGGGACTTTAGTGTAGTGGTTAGGAACACAGACACTGGAGCATAATGCCTAAGCTGAAATCTATGGCCACTTACTTAATTTTTCTGTATTACAGTTTCCTATGACATCTCTCACACTTTAATGAGAAGTAAATTAATTAATGCTTTTAAAGGTCTGGTAATATATACAACATATAGACCTCATAACTAGATTCATAGTTTGAATTTAGTTGAAAGTAGATTCTCAAGTTTGAATCTAATACAGTGTTTTGGGGACATTTTAACCTGATCATTTTGCTAAGGAGCATCCTTTCTTCCAAGGTGACACACTGTCATGTCGATCTTCACTGCTTTAGCCCAAGTACAATTATCTGAGTGGAGGCTCGAGGGCCACCTGTGAGATGATGCAGGATCCTGTCAACAGCCCATTGATGGAAGAGCCACTGGCATCTAGGAGAGGGGTTGTATCTTTTGGAAGGTTTATGTTGATCAAGGACTAAGCATTACACACATATGAGTTTGGTGGAGGGATGGTTAGAGCAGGAAAGTTTCTTCTATTGAGAAAGCAATAATGTCTTCCCTAAAGTCACCTCGTACTGTGACATCCCCTTGTGGAGACTACCAGGGTAAGTCACAGCTGACCTGTGACAAGGTGTGTAAAGTGTCTGGCACTGTGCTCATTACTAGCAAGTGCCCAACTAATGATAGTATTATCCTCAATAATAGCAACAATAATAACATTCACAGAATATTTATTATGTGCCAATGTTCTAAGGTATCAATTCATGAGATAGGGATCATCTTTATTCTTCTCTTACCGATGAGGAAACCAAGGCACACAGAGGTAAAATAAGTTGCCCAAGATCACATAGGTAACAGGCAGCAGAGCCAGGATTCAAAGGTAGGCAATCTGGCACCAGAGTTTACTCTATCAACTATTATGCTATTACTTAATTCAAAGATAGTAGCTCACAGGGGACCAGAGGAGAAAGAGACAGTTTCTGGCTGGGGTGACCAAGGAAGTGGGTAATCTGAGTAAACAGGTGTTTCAACTTTCCTTTAACATCCATTCAAATCTATTTTCTGCTCCTGACCCCAGTCCTTGGGCCTGAAGTTGAACCCATTGGTCCTGCTCTAACATAAATGCTCATAACATAACATTTAGCTGAAGCCCCAGACCTACTGAACCCAGAGCCTGTTAGGATTGGGGATGAGTAGTCTGGCTAGTAAGGGACTCTTAGAGACTACCTGTGTCTTCAGGAAAAGGTTCACACCTCACTGGCTAACTTTTGCCTCTGCTTGCACCAAAACACATTGTTTTTGTGCCTTTACCTAGTACTTGCTATTCCTTCTTTCTGGAATATTCTCATTAATCCTACTCATTCTGAAGACTGAGTTCTACTGTCTATTCATCCATGAAGCCTTCCCCAGTGCTGCCAGGCAGAGCTGGCAGTAGTGTGTGAAACTGGTCACACTCTGCTCCACTTGGTCCATTATGGTCATGGCTTTTGCAGGATTTTGAGGTCCTTGAGGCCAGAAACCATGTTGTATTCACTTTTGAATCCCACTTCCCAGCACAGGTCCTGGCACATGGTAGGCACAGGATGATTACTTGTTGTAGAATTCGGAAACAGATATTACAACCTGAATTCTCAAAGAAACAAGAATAGTACGCAGCCATCATCATTTGTTCCCATTTTTACCCACTCCACCCTCCTCTTTTTCCTTTCTACTACAGGTCCCACTGGAAGAGTATGGCCAATTTAATGCAAAGGTCAGGATATCTTTAGTTTCTGGACTGCTGACTGAGATTCACATTTCTGAACTTGCAACGACCTCAGTGTACCCAGGGGCCGAATTCCAAATGAGCACATCAGATCCTATTGATATAATCAGCTTCTAATTACATCCTAAGCTTCTGATCGGTCCCCCAGCCCCTTGCCCACATACACCATACCACTGGAGTCTGCCATTGTGAATGCTGGATGAGCTACATTGGGTTCAAATGGACTAATTAGGCCTGCCATGCCACTCTGGATAAGAGGAGTTTTTAGTGCCCCTGGAAAGCACCTGCCTGAAACTGCCCTTCTTTCCCCTTGATACATTGAATTTGCAAGTCCTCTTTCCCTAAAAGCATTCTGTGTGTGCTCAAGGTTCATTCCTTGAAGTAGGGAAATTGAAGCTCTGTGAACATGCTGCCTGACTGTTCTTATACTTTGCTGAGAGGGGACAGCAAGCATTTGTTGTCCTTCAAAACTGATCCACAAGCTGGATCTATTTCCGAGAATCATGGGTTGATTATAATTTTAAACATTAAGCTAAAGTTATACCCTATTGCTCCAGGCCCCCACCCAATTATTTCCACTAAGAATTCATTATAAGATTCTTGATCACTTAAAGCCTGAGGCATGAGAAAAGAAGGGCAAGAGAAGGCAGGAGCAGAAATACACACAGTTGCCTAAACAGTCTTAGGTTTCTTTCTTTCTTTTTTTTATTTTTGGTTGTGGTATAATTTACACATAATAAAACAAACTCATTTTAAATGTACAGTTTGATGAATTTTGACAAAACTGGTATAACCACTGACACAATCAAGATGTTGGATATTTTCATCACCGCAGAAAATTTCCTGTTTCTTCCCAGTCAATGCCCTCTCACCCACAGCAATGAACTCTGCTCTGATTTCTGTCACTGTGGCTTAGTTTGGCCTGTTCAAGAACTTTATTAGAATCCATTGAATGATTATTTATGTATGTTTATCTTCTTTCACTCAACAAAATGCTTTTGAGATTCACCTGTGTTGTTGCTTGTATGAGTAGTTTGTTCTTTTTTCATTGCTTAGTGTTTTTTATTATGTTAGCATAACTCAAATTTGTTTATCCATTACCCTGCAGGTGGGCATTTGGGTTGTTACCAGTTATTATGAGTAGAAGTGGGGGTTATTATGAATAGAAGCATTATAAACACTTCTATACAATTTCTTTTTAAGAAAAGATTAGATTTTTAAGTAATCTCTACATGCAAATGGAGATTGAACTCACAACCCAAGATCAAGAGTTGCATGCTCCTCCAACTGAGCCAGCCAGGTACCCCCACTATACAATTCTTTTTGTGAACGTGTTTTCATTTCTCTTGGATAGATGCCCAAAAGTAAAACTGCTGAGTAACAGAGTAGGTATATGTTTAACTTTTTAAGGAAAACTTCTTCCAAGTGTTTGTACCATTTCACATTCCCAACCCCAGAGTACAAAATTTTCAATTCTTTGGCTTTGCCTATGTTTGTTCTGTGAGCACATAGTCAACACTTGGAACAGTTCTAGGAACCATAACACTTGTTCTTAAAGATAGATTTCTGAGTGTTCTATCCCCAAGAGATGCTTCATACTTGAGTACCCTTGTTAGGAAAACGGTTTTCCACTCACTGGGACCTTAGACACAGCAGGCAAAATTAGGAAGGATGTCCAAGGAACAATAAAGGAGAAAGGCAATACAGCTCAGCCCACCATGAAGGATCAAACCCAACAACCAATTTGATGACAGATGTTCAAGTCAGATCACTCTCAAATTGAAGAGTGCCTTTGCAACAAGTCACTACCCATTCCTGAGCAATCAGAGAAATTTATTTGCTGTCCATTAGCTAATTGTTCCCATACTCAGCACAGATCTTAACTAAATGCCCTAAATGACATTTAAATTTCTGGTGTGTTATGAAACAGCTGATAATTTACCATGCTCATATCCTGCCAGTAGAGCTGACTTTAATTTTCCTTAAGATTGTGGCTGATTTCTGAGATCCCTAAAAATAAAGTGAAGTAAAGATCACAAGATAATATATAAATATAAAATCACAAGATCACAAGATAATATATAAATATA